CACGGGGAGGGTGTGGGGTTCTGTCATAATATCATGCGCAATGTTAAATTTTTCTATAATAAACTTGCAGCGCACTTTGATCGCATTATTCGCGTACATTTCGACTGAACTCTAATAACCATGTGTTTGAATTACGTGTGGCAATGGCCTCAATGAGTTCACGCACTGACATTTAAATTCGGGCCACCCAGTTTGACGCAAAATGATATAGTTACTTAACATTTGTTCAAAAAAATCAGTAAACTCTCACAAATACCATGAACGCGAAGAGTTAACTGAAAGACAACGTCGTTTTTGACCAAAAAAAACAAAACACGTCAATACAAGATTATGTGTGCAAGGTTAGATTTATAGAACGTACACGACCGCACTTGAAACACAGGAGACATTTTAGTTCGTTCATTTCTTGTTTACCGATCTTGAACTTTTTGTCTGGAATGCGATACAGGCGAAGAATAAACATTAATGATACCCATCGTTGTCAAGTCAACAAGAGGCTCGAATCAGGAAGGCTCGGCTATTTAAAACTTCGTAAATAACATTCTTTTCATGTGGTAGACTTTATTCAAGTGTAACAAACGTAAGTGAAATGTATGGACGAGTCATAATACTCGTACCTTCGAAAGTTACGACTTTTACTCTTGGAATTGGTGATAAATACATGCATAAAATACAATATTGTTTCACGCAACAACAATTCGTATACAGCATTGGACTTATGGATTTTTATATTAATAAAATACGTGGGCCGATAATATTACCATATGCTTAGTATTTCCATGCCAGCGATGCTCGTAACCTGCTTGATTTAAAAACAGCTATTTGAAACAAAGACTCTTGGAATCACAAAGTAAACTGTTAAGTACGTATTTCACACCTTTCCTACGACCGCGGTTGCAACCGGTACCAGTGGCCACCGCGGTAGAGACCCCTAATTATTAGCAGTCTGCGGCTCTCCCCGGTGTACCGCAGTGATTACCGCGGTGAACCGCCCGTTTGATTTCCTACTCTCCCCTTAGTTACAAATTTGAGTGTAAAACTAATAAGGTCTGCACAATGTAACAGACCATCTTTGTACCATAGAGGATTAGTTTAGACTACGTTTTATGGAACAGTTCACATTATACATGTATGACGATCTTGTCAAATTATGGTATATTATGTAAAGTATTATGTAATTTAAATAAAGTCTCTCATACATTTTAATACTGTCTTGTATGTATTTTAATACTGTCTTGCTCGCTAAATGAGATTGAAGATGAATTACAGTACACATTTTACTACTTTGTATTTATATCATTTAGACCGACAACAAATCCTGACAGATATTGAATTCCCAGATAAAATCACAAATTCATTCCAGAAACTTATATACATGTACATGTATCTACCGGTACTTAAGAATAGAGATGAAGAAATGAACAAAAGCATTTGAAGTTGTGTAAACAAGTGCTTCACAACACAAAATGAAATTGCATAAATTTCTTTTACCTGCTACTTGTACACATACTACC